TCTGATTCCAGAAGCTTTGGACAATAAAAATTTGCATATCAGACACAATAACCTAAAATATGTCTCACCGCAAATATTGATAATTCAGGTTTTGATCAAAATCTTATTGAAATGTTATTTTCCCGAGGTGTTAATCGCAGACTGTCATTAGCCCACGTAAATGTCATATTTTTTGGTAATAAGTCTGCATCACTCTTTACGAAAGTCAATAATCTTGGAGATGATTCCCCTTTCCCATATTTCCGGATGCCAGTGTTAGACCCTCATCCATGATCCAGTGTATGACCCACTGACCTGCCTGGTACTGGGAAAATTAGCCGTTAGCCTTTGGCCGCCTCCAGAATGTAGACAGAGCTCATTAACTGTGTCGCCCGGCGTATCTTTCGGCGATGATGCACTGCCTAACAAGTGGTGGACACTGGAGCCCGTCTACTCGTCTTGTTCTCTGCTGGACTCTCTGTGAAGACCTGTTCAGTGTACTTGTTTCCTCCTAGTAGTCTAACATATTAATGCTAACCCAACCATAGTGTTAGCATCAGATGCTAATGTTACTGATACATACAGGAGCACGTTTCCTAGCTAGCTGACCTACCTGCCCTGGGATTTGTTTGAACCTGCACCGTTATGCCGATCTGCTAATATTTTCCAAAACTCCCCCCCCTCTACTTTTTTCCCCGTTACTCTGCACATCCCCGCTTTTGGCAGAAGAGGGTGCTGTTCTGGATGTTGCAGCCTTCATCAGTGGACATTGGACCACCCTCTGTTGGCTCTTCATCAGATGCTGTCAGATTCTCTGTAAAGTCCACTTATCCTCATTGGACACTTGTTATGCTGACCATTCAATGGAGACAAACATTTCAAAGTTGGACATATATGACATAAGGCATCTTCATTTATGCACCTGCGTTCGTTCAGTTTTTGTCTTCACCATTTCAATTGGTTTTCACCTAAATTTATTTATTCTGGTCCATATAGTAAACTAATTAATATATCTCTGTTTGTCTGCTCCTAATTTGGTACTCTGAAAGTGTTTTGCGTATTTGAAAATTAGATCTTAATCTGTTCATCACTAAAATTTGTATTTGCCTATGTCATTGATCAGTTTGTGACTGTGGTGACCAACACTGGTCAAACTGACTGTAATCTATGCAGCTGTGATTGATTCGGAACCAGATCTGACCTTTGGACAAGCGGATTGGCTGAACGTGACATGGAGTTGCTTGCACTCGCCTCCTAGCGTGTTGCACTCTGTTGTTTTAGCATGTATGCAACTGCACCCAAAAGTCATTGGTTTTGGGCCTTGTAGTATCTAGTAGGGACTTACATGGCTGTGTGCCAGACTGTGCGACATTTTGATATGGAGCTGCCCATCATCGAGATGAATACAGAACTCAGTGCAACCCCCCCCCCCCAAATGCTAGTCAAACCAGTTCCTCTAGTGTGTGAACTAATTTTCTTTGCACGCATAAGAATTGTACATTTGAATGAAAAATTGGAAGCCTTCAAATAAGAATACGTACTTGCTGCCTTACTTTTGAAAATATTTACGATTATTCTCTCATATTTTGTTTGCCAAGAGTTAATCATGGTTTCTAGTGCAGCGTATAATGGAGAATGCCATGTGCATCGCCCGTAGATATAGTCACATTTTACTGTCATTTCCACATTGGTCTCTAAGAGACGGGAAATTGCAGGAAGTGAATGTACATATTAGAGGCTATCCTAACCCTCCCCCCCCCCCCCCCCCAACAGCCATTAAATGTAAAATAAAGCATTAAGCGTCCTGTTTGGCAGAGTAATGATTTACTAGAATTAGTATGTTTTCTGTGCTTTTTTTGGTTGTATATTCTACCAGAACAATGTATGCGTTACCAAATGTTTGTGGAAATTTGTATTTGATTTTGTCGAAACTCTAAACCTGTATAAAAGTAGTCTGGTGGATTTTAAGATCAACAATTAACAAGTCCAAGAAATAAAATATGACACTATAAACAACGTGACTTCCCGTTTCTTTTAGAGAAGTTAGAGGGACTATGTGATAAAAACCTCTTTTAGAGGTTTGATGCATGATAAGCAATTTCTGCTGTTCACTTGATATGTACTGTAAAGAGTGGGGTTAGCTTAATGGGTACCTACCTTAACACAGAGTCGGGAGTTTGAATCCTGCCCTGTGATGGACTGATATATCGTACAGAGCGTAGCCCTGCCTTGTACCCCGTGCAGCCCCCAGAGACCAGTGTCCAGGGCGAGCACTTGGAGAATGGTGTCCAGCTGAGAAGTTCCTCTGTCAGGATGTGAGGTTCACAGGAAGCCACTGCAGTCCTCTGGACCTCAGGGGTGACGCATGCTTTGAATTCCAACACATTCAAGGCAGACAAGTTAAATCATCAGAAGCGTCAAGCACCTACAGAAGATGCTGGTAAAGTGAACAATGTGCTTCTCCAGTGAAACACTAATACATAATTACACTCACACTGGTTGTAACTAAGAAACAAATGCCAAAATCAGTCAAATTTGTTAACAACCATCAAGCAGTGAAGGAAGAATCCAGCTGCAACTTCACTAATGTCTTTAATAACAATGTATTTCATTACATAAATGAAGCCCCAAAGAATTTAGGCAGCATTGCTCATCTGGTACCATAACTAAGACAGTCATTTGAAAACTCAAATTAATTTGAAAACTATTAAACGGCGGGAGCTGCAGGGCGGCATGGCACCACCTGTGGGCAGAGCAGGGTGAGGCAGCGCCTATCTGTCCAATCGGCGAGGACGGGCGGCGCGGGGCCCCGCCCTTCGGAGCCAGAGCGAGGCTGGGCCTTCACCGCCGGCGTTCCCAGCAAGCACTGCGGCAAAGCCAGCGGAAAAAAATAGAGTCCGGTAACCGAGGGGCGCCGAGTCGGACGGGATCGGCTAACTGGTTCGCTCTCAATACAGAAGAAAGAAAAAAAGTGAAATATATATATATATATAATATCTTAACGGTTCGACATGGCCGACAACGAGAAGCTGGACAACCAGAGGCTGAAGAACTTCAAGAATAAGGGCCGGGATTTGGAGGTGAAGCGCCGCCGCGCAGCTAGCTGCGCCGCTGTTTTATTCGGGGTTCTGTGTGATTCCGGGCCGCCTTCCGCTCCCCGGGGGCTCGTTACTCTGCAATCGCTGCCTCTGGTGTGGCGTCGTTGGTCATTTCTGTGGGATGGGCGGTCGCTGGCCGGCCTGGGCCGGGACGCCCCGTCGTGGCGGGTGAGGCCTGGCCCAGTCGGCTGGCTAGCGCCGGGTAGCCCCAAGCCCCCGGAGGGTGAGTAATCTCAAGGCCGGCCCTGTGTGCGTATGTAGGGCCCCGGTTGCGGCGTCTGCTCCGGTGTGCTTTCTGCCGTTGGATCCCCAGGGCAGTGGGCCTGCCAGCCTTCTGACCTTTTAAAAACCCAGGAATAGCGGATGGGGGCTTGCTTCGGGCTGTAAGGGTTAGCTGTGTGTTGCTTGTTAGCACCCGAACCGGGTTACATCGTTACATAGGCTTGTTATTTGGCGTAGTTAGTAACTAACGACCGTGTTTTTTCCGAAACATGATTTGGATACGGTGTTTAGACAGGGCAGGAGCCGCCTTGTTACAGGGCGGGACAGGGCTCAGCGTCCTGTTTGTATTATCTAGCTACCTAGTTACCCAGTCAGCCTGATAACCAGCTGAGAGCTTGCACAACACCCGCTTGTGAAATCAAGCCTTTCCTATCCGGTTAGCTGCTTGACGGTTTCTTGTCGCACTGCACGGTGCCTGGACCTCTGTTTATCCAACGACAACTAGCTTTACTTAAGACCGGCAGGAAAAATGTCGTCGGGCGGCGCTGTACAGAGACGAGATGCAGGTAGTTCTCGTGTAATCCCTCAAGACTGTGTTGTGCTTTTACATTTTAAGTAGATTAGCCAGCTCTGAGTAACTGCCCCCCCCCCCCCCCGATATGGAAAGGCGCTGTGTAGATCCTGAGAAGATAACATCCAAACTCATGACCAGATTGCCTGTGTGTTCATCACGTCAGTTTTTGCGCACTGACTTGGTAGGTTTGAATGCCGGAGGCGTGTGAGTATCGTGTAAGCATAAAGTTTATCATCAGCAGTCACTTTCAGGGCGTTATTCGGGGTGTGCGGTATGCAGACGCCCTGTACTGGGTCTGGCGACATTGAACCCTGGAAAATGAAGTTACGCTGCTATGCCTGTCAGGATTTGTCATTAGTTATAATAGTGGTCCAGTGCCATTTCTATGCTAGGTTTATGATAATGAACCAGGCGCAGGGTTACTTGTATGTACGTGAGCTTGATTGGGGTGCTAGTGGTGTATTCAGTTTTGTTCAGCTAAACCAGGGTTATTCAACTCGAGGTCCGAGCACTGCTGGTTTTCCAGCCTTCTTTTTACCTGTCAGTCGAGTGTGAAGCCTCTGCCCAATCAGAATCAGTAATTATTAAATAACTACCTGGGAGGACTGAAAACTCGGCCTGGATTTGGAATCGAGGTCGAGTTGAAGAACCCTGAGCTAAACTATTCCGCGCGACGTGGTGTCCAAAGCGCGTGTGCTCATTGGTGTTTGTGAATTCCCTTTTGCAGTCGATGAGAAGGCAGCGGAACGAGGTTGTAGTGGAACTGAGAAAGGTACGTGTGTCTATCTCCCTGTTCAGCATTCGGCCTTAAGATTAAGCGAGGGATTTTCCCAAAGCGATCCAGGTCTTTGAGTCTGACTCATCTGGACATAACTGCTATGTGAGTGACCGTAGGAGACTGATGGTTCTGCCTTCCCCTGCCCCAATGCCAGAACAAACGAGACGAACACCTCCTGAAGCGAAGGAACGTTCCCCATGAAGATATCTGTGAGGACTCTGATGTGGATGGGGACTTCAGAGCAGTAAGGGCCTTTGACACCCTCCTATGACTGTGACTGGGTTCATGTAAACGCCAGTCGTTTCCTGTGTTCCTTCTTTCTGTAAACTCTCATTTTTTTCACAGCTCGGTTTTTATGTTCGGTTTGAAATTTGTTCTTTTTGCTGCTTAGATTTTCACTGCTTCACTGATGCATTTTTATTTTGCAGCAAAACACCTCTTTAGAAGCAATAGTCCAGGTAAGCTTGTCGTGGCTTTGATGTGGCACTCAGTAATGGAGGCTGGTACATCATGTGGCTTGGCTGTAGTATGAGTGCTGTGTTAGGGTAGTCTGTCTGCAGTTATGGTCGGCATCTCATTTGCCTATAGTGTTCGATTACTGAGGCTGTGCTATTTACTGCTCTGCAAATAGTGTATTCCTGTTTGTAAGTTCCTTCTAAAATGGCAGTCTGTTCTGCTCTGTCCCAGAACGCCACCAGCGATAACCAGGGTGTGCAGCTCAGTGCAGTGCAGGCCGCACGGTAGGAATGCCCCCCCCCCCCCCCCCCCCCCAATTAACTCTGACCTGCCTTTTGAATACGTCTCTGCTGCTCATTGCGAGCAGCTCTTTGGATGATGGACAGCTGATGGTTTAGTGCATCCTGCGTCTCGCGCTTCTGCCCTTCACAGGAAGCTGCTGTCCAGTGACCGCAATCCGCCCATCGACGACCTGATCAAGTCTGGGATTCTACCCATATTGGTCCACTGCCTGGACCGAGATGACAAGTAAGCACTCTTTGGACCGTGGGAGCCCTTCACAACAAACTGTCCTAAGTCTGTCCATTGGTTGTTTGTTCCATTCTTAGATCTGTGTAGCTCTATTTTGAGAGCGACTAGATCTGGAGGACGAAAAAACATTTTGGGTTTTTTGTGTAGTGTATGTTTGAGGGTTTACTGGGTGTTTTCTGAGGGGAACGGATGAATTTTAGCAACCCTTGTTATTTGACACAGTGTGTTTTGTTCCTGGTTAGCCCGTCGTTGCAGTTTGAGGCAGCCTGGGCTTTGACCAACATCGCCTCCGGAACCTCGGAGCAGACACAGGCTGTCGTGCAGTCCAGTATGTTGTCATCTTCCTTGCTCTGTGTGATTGATCTCACTTGCGGCCCTAAATCTCTCTGGACACTAAAAGAATGTTCTCATTCTATCCTCAGATGCCGTCCCCCTATTTCTGGGACTGTTGCAGTCCCCCCACCAGAATGTGTGCGAGCAGGCCGTCTGGGCGCTGGGCAACATCATCGGTGAGTGACGCCCACTTTGGGGGTCACATGGTTGGTCAGACGGCCACTTCCACCTTACCGCCATTGACAGGCAGTTACGGCATTCGGCCACCTATAACTGCTTTGTAAATGTTCCCCCAGGTGATGGCCCTCAGTGCAGGGACTATGTGATAAGCCTGGGTGTGGTCAAGCCGCTCCTGTCCTTCATCAGTCCTTCCATTCCAATCACGTTCCTGCGAAATGTGACCTGGGTCATGGTGAACCTGTGCCGTCACAAGGACCCGCCTCCACCCATGGAGACGATCCAGGAGGTAGCTTCCCGAACATCTGAGACCAGTGTAGAAACCTGAACGCTGGTGGCTAGGTCCTCCATTCTGAGCAGTCATTTAGGTTCACGCGGGAGTGTTATGTTTAGCAGTTAAATTGACTAAACAGATCTAGGTGAGGATATACCAGACCCTGCATTTTCCCCCTGGCTTACACTACTCTCCAACAGATCCTGCCAGCCCTGTGTGTCCTGATCCACCACACGGATGTTAATGTGAGTACTGATGGGCTTCATTGATTCCTCTGCAGTGTCAATGTGTGCAGCCATTGTTCTGGGTGGGTATTGAAGTAGAGTGTAATTCTTGCTGCTTTTGTGAAATATGAGCATGAGAGTAGCATAGATCATTTTGAGCATCTTCTCCAGATGGATTGGAAGATCTTACCCCTTGCTATCTGGAAGGTCCACTGCTTTGATTGACAATGCATCTTGCTGCAGATCCTGGTGGACACTGTGTGGGCGCTGTCCTACCTGACGGATGCTGGAAACGAGCAGATTCAGATGGTGATCGACTCTGGTATCGTGCCGCACCTCGTGCCTCTTCTGAGCCACCAGGAGGTCAAAGTTCAGGTGGGTACTTCAGGCTGCCATTCCTGCGTCTGGCAGCTGACATCCTTTACCTCTGTGCTTCTGCTTTGTAAATTATGTTTTACAGCTGAATTGTAAGTAATTTTCCTCTTACCTTTTCATGTAAAGGTGGTATTTTTATAAGCTTACTTTTGATTGGGTCACAATGACTGACTGCTTCTTGTGTCTTAGGTCAAGGAAACAGTTTACTTTTCCCCAGAACGTTCCTGTATTTGGCTAAAGCTTAGTGTTACATAAGTTACAACCCACCCGCTAATCAGTTGTTTAGCCTTTTGCCGGGTGGAGGTAGCTGTTGTGTTCCAGTAGAACTGGATGTTCCCTTCTTTCTGATTGGTTCGTCTGGCCAGCCATTGTCACTGCATCCACATGGTTAGTCACTTTGCTTGGGAGCGACTTCCTGGCTCCTATACCAGACTGGTGTCACATCTTGTCACACCTTTATCTCTGGATTCCTCCTGTGCCTGCCTACTATAGGTTTAGGCATGTATTAGATGTACATATTGAAAGCATTTTAAGAAGTGGGGGGGGGGGAGGCACATCTGCTAATTGTGGCCACCTGTCTCTCAATAAGGTTGGAGCTCACCTCCTTTTTCATTGGTTGGGTCTTTTTTTTTTTTTTTTGCCCTGGGGTGTGTCCATGTGATCTGGTACTGTGAGAAGGGGTCCTGACTGCATAGAGCTGGGCTGCCCACCAGCTGCAGTTGCAGTGCTGCTGCCAGATTCGCAGGGCACTGACCTCCAACGACCTTTGCAGACAGATCCAAACAGGAAACCTGAGACCCCCAGCCTTTGGGAACCGGGACAGGGGCTATCAATCAACCCCCCCTCACTTGGCCTAGATGCGTTTGTCCTTGATGGTTTATTGATTGTGAGGCTCATGGGTAGACTTACAGAGAGGTGCTTCCTCGCATAGAGCAGCGGGCTCACAGTGCGAGCGTTTGGAATCCTTGCCACATCCACTTCTGTGTTCAGCCTGGCATACTGACCCCTGCTGGTCATTTTCAGACTGCAGCGCTGAGGGCAGTGGGGAACATCGTGACGGGCACAGACGAGCAGACCCAGGTGGTCCTGAACTGTGAAGCTCTGGCCCATTTCCCTGCTCTCCTCACCCACCCCAAGGAGAAGATCAACAAGGTAAATGCCAGGGTCTGGCCTGCTGTAGTCATTGCTATTTTCTCAAATCCTAAGTGCTGTTTTTGTGTACCACCTGTAGGAAGCAGTGTGGTTCCTGTCAAACATCACAGCAGGAAACCAGCAGCAGGTGCAGGCCGTCATTGAAGCCAACCTGGTGCCTTTGATCATCCACCTCTTGGACAAGGTGAGTTCCTCCAACATAATTTTACTCGCTACTTAACCACTACATCTTTTTGCTGACACGCTTCATGCTGTGGAAGCACATTATAGTACAGTACTGTAAGCTAAACGCTACACCCCCGCACCTCCAGGGAGACTTTGGCACCCAGAAGGAGGCTGCCTGGGCCATTAGCAACCTGACGATAAGTGGAAGAAAGGACCAGGTGAGATCCTGCAGTCTCATTCGCTGTGAAGTTGTTTTGCCGCCGGCTATAGCTAATTTCATCAATTACCTAATAAGAATTCTGAACTCACAAGTGGGGGTGGGGGTGGGGTGGGACCAACTGGCTGCACGGTAGGAATGGAAGGAACCAAGTGGGGTTGCATTCTAAAAGCAAGGAGTACACTGTGATCAGGTCAAACCAAAGTCCACTCTGGCCTGTGTAGGTTGGCAGATTGAAGTCTGTACCCTTGATGTTAGTTTGAGCAGTCGGTTGGGTTAAATCCCTTCACTGAACATGATGACCCTGCCCACTGTGGCATTTCAAGTCTTTCTCTTGGCACACTGGTGCAAATTGATGTCGAACTATGATTGTCTGTCCACCAGGTGGCGTATTTAATCCAGCAGCAAGTGATCCCGCCGTTCTGCAACCTCCTGACAGTCAAAGACGCGCAGGTAGTCCAGGTGGTTCTGGACGGCTTGAGCAACATCCTAAAGATGGCTGACGATGAGGCTGAGACAGTCGCTAATCTGATTGAGGAATGTGGAGGTAGGCTTTTTTTTTTTCTTCTTTCTTTCTTGAGCTTCCTAATTTTAAGAAGGTGTGTTCATGAAGCCATCTCTCCCCCAATACAGGACTGGAAAAAATTGAGCAACTTCAGAATCATGAAAATGAAGATATCTATAAGCTGGCGTATGAAATTATCGACCAGTACTTCTCATCTGATGATGTGAGTCTCACTGGTGGACCTTTGTTGGAGGGGTTAGTGAATGAGGGCGTTGTGTCCTGATGCTTGCTGGTATGGCGCTGATGAGCATTTCGCTTCTCTTTTAAAATTCAGATTGATGAAGACTCAAGTCTGGTGCCCGAGGCCATCCAGGGTGGAACTTACGGGTTCAATTCCTCCACTAACGTACCAGCAGAGGGGTTCCGGTTCTAAAGAAGCGTCTGTGATGGGGGAGATAGGTCATGATGCAGCACTCTGTTCAACAAAAATTGCGAGCAAGAGAGAGCGAGAGTGTGAGAGATTAGATCCATTGTGCTTGGTTCATTGGATCCTTGGCTGCATTTAATCCGAGAGCAATTGTGTGGATTTCGTTTGGCGTTCCGGGGGGAGCCGGCCCAAATGGAGTGGCGATGGAGAGTGGATGCAAGTGCGAATGAGTGCTAAATGTTGCAAACAAACATCTACACTGAAATGCTTTGGAGGACATTCTGAACACTTTGCCGTTATGACAGGTGTTATCTAAACCGCAAAAATAAGATGTCAATTGGGAGAGAACCAAGACATTGAAATCAATCAATTAGAGGAATCTGGGGGGGTTAACAAAACCATATTAGTTTTTGTGGTCCGGTTAGTTGAGGGGAGGAACAGCGAATGGGAGGTGTCAGGGAGCGCACCCCTCAGGGCCGTGCTGAGTGAATGGACCCACGTGTGCGAATGTGTGGACTCGGCCCCGAGGAGCCCGGGCCGTCTCCTCCAATCCTGGGGCTCCCACCCCACAAGGAGCCAGGGAGGCGGCTCCAGTGGCACGGAGCGTGTGCGAGAGTGGTGGGTGCGTGTGCGTGACTGGGCGTGAGGCTGGGTGTGTACGCATGCAATGAAAACAAAACCGAAATGAGAGCCAGGGGGGGAAAAAAAGCTACTAAAGTTGCCCATGGAGGAGGCTGATTTATTCAGAAATGGGACACCCCTTACCAGAAAGGAAGAGTAAGGTCTTTCTGTAAACAGGAGAATGCATAGAGGCGCATTGAGATGTTTATAATGTTAGTATTAAATGGCACTGGCCGGTGAAATGGCCACGCGTTTCAGTCCAGTGTCATTCTTTTTATTTTCTTTCCCTATGCTTTTATTTCCAGTGTTTGTGCAGAAGTGAACTGTTTTAAGCAAGGCTCCCTATTTACACTGTACCTAGCACCAAAAATCCATTTGATGCTGCAAATATCCATGATGCCATCTCTTAGAATTAAATTTATATGATCCCTTGCATGATATAATATACATTTTTCTTTTTCTGAAGTGAGAACCACTGAAAGCTTAAAATTGTCACAAGGGACATGAGGAAGAATGGCCATTTTTAAATGTGACTTTCAGTCCTAATATTTTGCATGTACTAATTCTTTATTTTAGGGGTTTATTTTAGTTATCGTGTACAAAGTGTAATTTTTATTTGTAGAATACAGTACAGTTTCAATGTTTTTCATCTCCCCCTCACTTTAGTTCCCTGACCCGTTTGCACATTAACTCAATCGGCAAAGTGATGTTCTGCACCAGTGTTTTGACCATGCATAAATGAAATGTAGCAACACCTTTAACAGTGTGTAGTGTTTTACTGTATTCCAGGTTTTTTTTTTTTTTTTTTTTTTAAACGATAAACTATTAATCCAACTGGAGCCACATTGCAGAATTTCATGTTTAAGGGAGCTGGCAATATGTACCTGATTTTGATTTGGGAACTTTTTCTGTAGGGGGGTATGTGATAATCATGGGTATTGGGAAATCTGCTTTGTTTGTCTCAGTCTGGGTAAACACTGTATATACACTGAGTACAGAAAGACTGTCAAAACAACCTTGCTGTATGCCATGTATAACAGTTAAGCCCTCCCCCAGTGTCCGCTCTCTTTTGTGTTGTAGTTTAAGACACAATAGAAATTGATTACATTTTGTGGTCACTATCTTCTGGATTTTCTGGGTTATTTTTGCAGCATTCCTTGTCAGCAAAGATGTGATTTAAAAAAGAAAAACATTTAAAGGGCAGAGCAAAAATTAAAAAAAAAAAATGCTTAACCTGTTGAAGTTAGATTATGGGCTAGGTTGTCTTTAAGAAAATAAATGCTAAAACTTCATGTGCTGTGTCTTATTTCTGTTGCACTCCTTAAGCAATAGGATTTGGGGGAATTTAGGCACCTACTGAAACGTCCAAGGGTCTTAATGTGTTTTTGCGTCCTGTAATACTAGAAATGTGCAGCTTGGACTTTATTCCCACTTTCTGGATAACCAGTCCTTTGTGTCTCCTCTGGTATTAGGGTGATGTCAACACTGCAGTCCTAGATGTGTGTGCTATTAGAGCCTTTTAGCATTGTAGCATGACAAACCAGCAGGGGGTGTAGTGGTCAAGGATGCAACTCGAACCTGACAATAGCCCTCTGATGTATCAGGTGGTGCCTTTGTTCGTCCTGAATATGGGGATTAAACTGACTTGCTTCACTAAGATGTCCTGTTGTATGCGTTTGTTAAAATGTCAGCAAAACAGACGGACGGGGGGTCCAGGGGGTGTTTATCCGCTGTGTACAGTCTGTCCCTCCGGTGCTTCGTTTCAATTGCGTTTGAATCGCGGAGTGGGGTGATCTGATTGGCTGTCCGGAACGTCAGCTATGTGCGCATGCGCACTTCTCTTCAAAGGCTGTAAACGCGAAAGGGATCTTCGGACCCGAGCACTGGCGTTTGGTGAGTATGTACCTAGTTAACTTACCGGGACGCTTGTATTTAGCAAAGAGAACGGCATCTCTCCTTGGCGGTGACACGGGCCGCCGTCTCTAAGCAGACGTCTGTTTGGCTACTGCCTGCGTACTTCTTAACAAAGAACTGCGCGTGGCTTATCTCACGTGTATTTGCTTGTTAAGTCAATAAGTGGATGTTTTGGGAGAGTTTGTGCGTTTTCCTAAACTAAAGCGGGTTCTGGGCGGGGCCATAAAACCAGAGGTTGTTTTGTTTATTCTTAATAAACTAGAAATGTGGCGTTTAGAAACGATATTCTGTGCACATTTTCCACAATACGAAGATGGCTCTTCGGGCTAAACTAGTGCCAGGCTTCTGTTCCGGTTGTACGTTACGCTGGACGTCTAAGCGTGACTGCAGTGGCCGTCTGGGGTTCGTTGCGAACATAGATCCGTGTTTCGGGCACCAGCTTATCAGACCGCCCCCTTATATATAAGCCTCTATATAACCACCTGGATATGACGGCAGTGTATGACACAAAATGTCTTTAAATTGTTTTAAATGTTGGTTACGTTATGAATCTTGGAAAATACGATTTAGCGTTGCCGGGTATCTGTTGTAGAACACAATAAAAAGTTTGTTCTTGTGTCACCTGTTCTAGCTAATCCTCGTTATTTGATTCACATGACACCATGTTTGTGTAGCCATAGTCCTAGCCGGCACCATTTATAGTCTGATGACGATTCCGTAAAATATGCAGCTCCGGTGGGGGTGACGCCTCTAACCTTCCTGCCCGGCTCACGCCATACCGTTAGGTTCAGGATAACACGGACGCACGAAGCTGCCCTGATCACGCTGGCGGACCAGAGTTTCCTCTGCCTCTTCTGCGAGTTTTCGCGTCTTTCTGAGACGTGTGACTCTTCTTAAACTGTCAAAGTTTTTGTAACGCCAGCTTTTGGTTTTCAGAAGCGCCCGTCTGGACATAAGGTATTAAGCTGCTTGGTGACCCTCCTGACCTCAGAGCTGGCAGCATGGACAGCCTGGAGGAGGACCTCACCTGCTCCGTGTGCTGCTCTCTCTTCAGTGACCCACGTTTGCTTCCCTGCTCCCACACTTTCTGCAAGGCCTGCTTGGAGAAGGTGCTACAGGTGTCTGTTAACTTCTCCATCTGGCGCCCGCTCCGCATCCCCCTCAAATGCCCGAACTGCCGCAGTGTGGTAGAGCTGCCCCCCTTGGGTGTGGACGGCCTCCCTGTCAACATCTCCCTGCGTGCCATCGTGGAGAAGTTTCAATGTGACGGCCACCCCCGTCCGGCCGCCTGCCCGGAGCACCCACGGCAGCCGCTCAACGTCTACTGCGTCCGGGACCGCAAGCTGGTCTGCGGGTTCTGCCTGACGGTCGGACAGCATCAGGGCCACCCCATTGATGACCTGGACACGGCTTACGTGAAAGAGCGCGAAGCCCCGGCTCATCTGATCGAGCAGCTGACGGACAAGCGCTGGGCTGAGGTGTGTGCCCTGGTGGATCAACTGGAGCAGGATAAGGAACGCTGTGAGAGGCTGCTGCAGCAGGACCGCGGTGCCGTGGTCCAGTTCTTCGGCAGCCTGGAGCTGATCCTGGCCCAGAAGAAGGAGGCCTTCATGGAGGCGCTGGAGGCGGCAAGTGGGGAACTGCAGCACGCTTACGACCCGCTGATCGAGAAGCTGAAGGACATGAAGGAGGAGCAGCTGGACCTCATTTCGTACAGCACAGCGGTGGAGGGGGAGGAATCCCCCCTCGCCTTCCTGGAGAAGGTCCACATCTTCCGGGAGAGGGTGGAAGCCTTGATCAGAGCACCATTGCCCAGGCCGACAGTCCTCTCCACCCACCCTCGGGCTGCTGAGTTCCTGGAGCAGCACTGGGCTGGGGTGACTGTCGCTGATTTGGAGCAGGGTCCAATTCCCCAGATCACATGTTGCGTACAGGGCTGCGGTCAGAAGGAGGGGCCCCCCTCCACTTGGCCACAGCTTGCCCCCCCAGTGCCCTCCACTGTCCTGCTTGTGCTCCTCCTGTCTATTGTACTGTTCGGCCTGAGCTACATGTACGCGCCGCCCGTCTCCTTTCCTGATCTGCCTCGGGCGAGTCAGGTGCTTCAGGCTGTCCTGCATGAACTGACTGGCCACGTCTGCTTGCTACAGGAGACTATGGTGTACCTGCAGTCCATGGTTGGAGATGTGATTCTGAAATGCAGGTTTCTCCTGTCGTCCCTTGGAGAAACTACAGGGTATTACTTAGGCACCATCTTCAAGTTGTTCTGATTCTTGGGGAAAGAGGGTTAGTGCAAGGATTTGCCTACAAAATGACTATTTTCTTTGATTAGTGATTTTATTTTCTTTTTGTGGTGCTTAACAGCTTAGCGGGGAATCAGTACCTCCTGTCAACCACATTTATCTTGCCAAATCAACCCCAACTCTTTCTACACTAACCGACCAGAACCTCTGTTGGGGCACTTTTGTATCTTTTTCTAAGAATATAATTTTTTAGTCAGTGTCTTATTGTTAATTTTATAGATTGTCCAGGGATGGTTATATAATCCCATTCCTTTGGAGAATTTGCACATTGAAAAACCTTCCCCTGAAAAACAGCATAACTTTTTCCTGCATTCTAGGTGAATTAACCAGGCCTGGACCACACAGGCTACAAAATACTGTACCTGACGGGGCCGTCAGTGTTTCCTGCCCTTTTACACATCATTCCACTCCAACACACCTTCAGCGTGACACAACTTAAGATGGAGCTGAACTGAACCTTTGACGGGTTTGAAATCTCTCCACTCTCCTAGAACTATAGTCAGATACAGTACCTTGGTTGAGACTCTTGGTTTGAAAAGAACTTAATTTTTAATAAGCTGTGAATTTGGAGCAGGTGCGGGTTATTTTATGCTTAGATATCACTGGTCGTAATTTCTGAGAGTTAACATTACTGCTATTTTAATTGAATAAAAATCACGCTTCATGCTTTTTGTCTGAGCTGTTGTGCTGTTGCTCTGTAGGTCTCTGCACTCTGCTGTGACTTATGCTTCATGTTCACGGCTTAAAGGGTGTGTGTGCCCATATCTAAGGTCTGCTGGGCTCGCAGGTAGCCACAGCACCCTGGCCGGTTCTGACCCACTACTGGACCCTGATCCAAGCCCAACTCTACAGAATCATGGTACTTCTCCTCTATTGATTATGGAGCAGTTAGTCACTAACCTTGGAAACTTTTTCAATTACTGACAGTATACTTGAATGTCCACAATTGAATGTTACATTTATATAGTGCTTCAAGACACCCAAAGTGCTTTACAAAACCAGTGGGGAACTACTTCAACCACCACCACTGTGTAGAACCCATCTAGATGATGTGACAGCAATTCTGATACTAATGATCCCGTACCGACTATAGATGCATATCACCCATGTTTAAGGAATTTGTCTACTTGTTTCAGCTTGGTACTACAGATGCCCCCATATGGCGTTGTTACAATGAACTCTTAAGTTGTGAATATGATTGGCACTTGGGCTTTTTAACCACTCTAATCACCACAGAGACTGGAAGCGTGGCTGTGTGGATGGAAGTTACATTATCGTAAAGCGAGAAGCATCTATACAGCGAGCGGTCAGACCAATGTAGGAAATGGATTAAGCCAAACTTAGAAAGCAGAAGTGAGATTTTATTTATGAAATTTTAAAAAAAACAGCAGCTTTTATGATAAAATTAAGATAGATACAAATGCCTCAAGAATTTTCAGAAGTTTGGGAAAAAATGATCCCTGGATTATGATTAAAAAGTGCTGAAGCTGAGGGTGTTCAGGCAGTGGCCCCCTCGGGCAGCTCCTTGGACGCGATGGTTTTTGGGTTAATGCCCACACTCTTGGTGGTGTTGTGAGTCTTGTAGATGCCGATCAGCCGATCAGCGATCTCAAACATGTTATTCCGCAGAGAGATGATGATGAACTGGGCATTCTTAGTTTGTTCCTGGTGGGAGGAGAGACAAGCGACTTATACTACCAGTGAATAATGTACTAATCCATTTTAAACAAAGTAATTACTGCAGGAGTTCATGATGCTATTGTAAATATGAAATAAACTTAACCACTGGTCCATATTGTGCAAGGTTTATGAAGCCTCCTAATTAAGGTGAACCATACTTTTACCTCCTGGTCACAATAGCCTCACCACAAAAAGGTGGTTATAAAGTGGGACAGACTATTCAAAGTCCATCTCCCTTTAATAGGCCATTTATAAGCTGGGTTAAAAAAGAAACACCTACACAATCCAAAACTTAAGTGAAATCCCTTCCAAGATCCACAATTAATGGGAACTTGACTTGCATAAGATGACATTTTAAAAATCAGTCAAGCAGGAAATTAAATGTAGTAGAGGACAATCACATCCATCACTGACTGTATGAGTTACTCACATAGATATAAAAAGCCACGATGGACACATTCTTAAAATCAAGCGCAGCATCAATCTCATCCATAAAGTAGAGAGGTGTGGGTTTGAAGTGGTGGAGGGCGAAAACCAGAGCCAAGGAGCTCAGTGTCTTCTCTCCGCCAGACAGGTTAAAGATCTTCTTCCAGCTCTTCTTTGGGGGTCGAACGCTGCACAGACAAATGGAAAGAGATAAAGGCCCCCCTAATATGAGAGATGCTGGTGCACATCGACCAGAAACTGATTCTGCATGTCAAGTTCAGTCATTACCTGAACATGATTCCCTCAGAAAAGGGATCCAGGCTATCCACAAGCTCCAGCTCTGCGTCGCCCCCTAGCGTCAGCATCTGGTAGTTCTCCTTCAACTTGTTTGTGATGATGTTGAAGCCGGCCATGAACTCGTTGAGCCGCTGCTTGCGCAGGTCCTCACATGCACGCTTGAAATTGTCCCGTTCTGTGGTAATCTCATCCAGCTCTGCCACACGCTGCAAGTAGAGCTCCTCCTACAGGAGGACAGAATAAGCGTCAGTACTCGCTTACTAAGCCCTGGGGAAGGATGAGAGGTAAGCTGGTGAAAGGGAGGTTTGCTTTCTACCAGGCCTTACTGCAAGGCCACAGACTGGTACCTTTTTCTTGTACTCGGCGATGGCGCCCAGGTTGGGCTTCATCTGGGCGGATTGTGCTTCCAGAAGGGCGATCTCTCTGTTGAGCACATCGGGGCTATGGGCTGCCAGTTCCTCAGGGGAGAGCGACTGCAGCTCCTCTGCTGGCTTGTCGTCAATGGTGTGGAGGGAGAGCTTTGAGATCTGTAGAGTGAAATGTGGGATCAATTTAAGAACTGGGTATAGCGCCCCCTGCAGGGCACAGAAAAGGGGTCATAGGGAATGACTGCCAATCAGCAACAAGCCCCAGCTAATTTTATCACCAAGATTTCAAAATGCCACAATATTCCTTAAAACCACCTAAGCCTGGTGGTAACTTTAAAACTTCATAAACGTTTACCCATTTCACTACACTGCTATTTGCCTGCCAATCTCTGTATACAAATGCAACCAATCAATGACAAAATTCGTTACTGATAATTACGGACGTTATTGATTTCTTGCAGCTGTAGTATTAATACAGCAGGTAATTGTGTGTTTTCTCTCACTACCCGTTTTACACCAAGAACATCACACAATGCTTTAATGTGTGACTAAATTCAAAACCTGGGACCCAAAACAGTGCCGTCACAATGTAATGCAGCAGATTGTTTAGTCCTGGCAGAGACCCTTAATGGTATAAACCTGTAGGACGTTCAAGCTCCCAGTCTCCACTCTTCAGGCTAAGGCCATCTTTCCAATACAAATGATTGAAATTCCTGGTGATCCGACTGCCAGGACAGCTGCTTCAGATTCGTATCAGGCGTTGGGCCTGCAGTGAACCTGAAGTTACCCGTGTTCTGAGACATACAGGCATCCTAATCACCAGACCTGTCTTGCTAAACTACCAGTTGGCAACATATGCCCTGTGCATTACAACTACAACATGTTCCTGGAAGACGACTCTCGCTCCACCACAGGATTCCTCAGAAAGGCTTCCTATTGTAGCCTTAATAGTGAACACAATCCAGCTGGGACACCAGTAGAGTCACACACGGCACTCAGCCCAAACAGAAAACGGCCCACCTCTCTCTGCCAGTGCTTGATCTTGCTCTGATGCTCGGAAATGGCCCCTTCAATCTGCTCCACCTTGAGGCGCACGTTGAGCAGCTCTTTCTGCAGCGTGTGCTCTTGCTCCTGGATGGCCTTGATCTCCTGCAGTACACCACGGTGCTGCTCCTGTACTTCTGGCAGTGCCTCCTGCAGGACCGGAGGGAGACAAAGAGCCCATGAAGACCATATCAGCAAGCCATTATATTTTGAGATATTTCATACCAAGCAGTGTTAAAATGTTTTGCTGCTAACAGGTTTTCTGAAACAATGTAAAGTAACTGGTGAATTAAAAAACATCCCATCTACAGGTTGCATTACATGTATGACCAAACAGCTTCTACACTATTTCTAGTACTTTTCATACCTTCAAAATATTAAGGAAGGGAAAAAACAGGCAGCATTTATTGGACAGATTCTTTTCAGCAACAAGCAGTTTGAGTGATAAATGCAAGGAGAGATTTAAAATCAACCTTTAAATTGATAAGGAAAACATTTTTCACACCTATGGAGTCACAGGAGTGCCATAAAAAAGTCTGTAAAAGCATAAAGAAATAAATGTTGAATAAGTGAAAAATACAAATAAGAAAATTAAAAATAAAGGAATAAGAAAATGAATGCTTTTCTTTATTGCTTTTAATTTTGCCATATTGCTTTTACATTTAACGCATTGCTTTTGCTCTTGCCTTATTACCCTTGCTTTTCCTCAAATGGACAAGCTGTCAATCAACTGGCTTCAGACACACCTTCCTGCCCAGGTTGAGTAGTCAATTCCAGCCCACATGAATATTTTACAGATTTATTCTTGGTTATGGCACTCTTGTGATTCCTTACAAACCACTGAATTTGTAGTTAAAATTTATCAGAATAAAAGAATCCCACAAAATCTGACTTTGGGTCATATTCCTGGTAGATTTACGGTAAACGAAGTGCTGAAGATGAGGGAAGTGTAAAAACAAATTCTAATGGTTCATAAAAAAGAGCAAAGCCCCAATAGAATTGCAATAAATTACAAAATGGAGCAGAGCTTAGTGTGTCTTCCTCAGTTGCCTTCATTAGTGACTCTCAGTCAGACTCCTCCCCGAAGAGGAAGCCCACTGCAGCCCGACTCACCTCCGCCTGCTGGCACTCCTTCATGATCTCTGCGGCCTGCTCCTCCAGCTTCTTCAGGTGCTCCATCAGATCCTCCATGGCCTTCTCGTTTTCTGCCATCTCCCTTTCTGAGCGAGCCACCGCATCCTCGGACTTCTTCAGATTCCTTGGGGAGCAGGGAGAGAAAGTTCACGAATCAGATGAAACATGATGCTGGTGTGATTTGACCAAACCGTAATATCTTGATGTTCACAGCCTTCCAATTATTTGATGTGAAACTGGTTACTGGGGCACAGACCGGAAGGTCTGACGGAGTAACACCAAATCCAGGTCTAATTACACTGCATATCAGCTGCATTTTTTTAGTTTCTTCAGACTTTTTATCACACTATGCAGACTTCAGACCAGTACTACCACTACTATCACTATTGTCAGTGTCCTGCCAACAGTGCAAACAAAGTGGGCAGCAGGCGGCTGACCTGTCTGCTGTCTTGATGGCCACTTGAGCCTTGGTGATCGCAGAGCAGCATTCGTCAAGCTCCTTGTTGATTTTGTCTAACTTGTCCTGCTGAGCCTTCAGCTTGTGGCTGTTGATGTCCACGATGAGGTTGTGCAGTCGCTTCACTTCTGCCTCCACTTTGCCAGCTTTGCTTGCTGCAGTTTCATATTCTGGGAGAAGGAGAGAAGGATGGTTCGGTCATGTTAAAGCTCGGCTTTGCGCCATGGCTGCTATTAGTAGGTGGGCCGACATCTTGCTAGGCATTTATGAGC